CGTGTATCTTTCTTTCCTCATATATTATACGGGAGTTGGATCCAGAGTGGCAGCGCCATAAGTTAATCTATGTCTTACGGAGTGTGTGGTACTACACATCCCAGCTATTAAATTGGTGACCATTTCCCGATCCGGACCGCATCCATACTTGCTTTCCATTCTGTGTGTATAGGTCAACAAACTTACCTGTTATTCAGAGTGAGGAATAATAGTCGACGACTGTAACTATAAATCCCATCACCTTGCATAACCCCAGGCCCAGTGCTAAAAATGTTGTACTCTCTGATGGCAGGACGTGGCAAAACGCAGCTCTCAAGTAGATAGGCCTGTATATCAAGTTGTTCCCTAGTGTTACAGGCCATACACTTATTACTCAATTGATTTTTTCTATCTCATGTAACCTAATTAGTGCTTCAAAGAGTATGATGTGAATACGCAGGAGTGAAGCCAAAAAATTGATTTTATTTTTATTCCCCGGGTAAGATGGTAAACAGTTCTACAAACGCCGTCCCTCTTAATTGAGTGTACGCCTGAAGAACTGAAACTGACCACCGTTTATATGCTAACTTAGATCTCATGCGCAGGCAGCCATCAGAAATTTCGGGGCCCCTTACACGGCTTTAGGCCAGGCCCCCCCCGCCCGTCGCTGGACACGGGGCTTAGTGACGTGCAGGACGCAGGGCTTAGTGACGCGCTGGACACAGGACCCACCTGAGAGTGACCCTGCAGAGCCCACCATAGATGCTGCACAGCCCATCTGAGACTGTCCATGGTGGACTCTGAAGGGGTCTCAGGTGGGCTGGTCAGGGCTGCATCCCTCCCCTCCCTCCTTTCCTTCCTTCCTTCCTAGCTAGACATCACTTCCGGCTAGTCCGACATCAGACGAGCAGCATCTCTGATGGGGCCCCAGCTTGTCTCGAATTCACTGGAGCGGCAATGCTGGGGCCCTGCCCTGCTAGGGCCGGCCTCCGCCTCCTCGCCCTTCACTGTCGGCCGATAGTCGTGTAAGGGACCCCGGTGGGCCCCCCAGGCTGCCCGGGCCCCTTACATGAGTATCGGACGTACCCCCCTGATGGCTGCCCTGCTCATGTGTCGCTGACGGCTAGTGGGCCATAGAGTACATTGGGACTTTATCCGCAGTTGAGACCCATAATGACTTCCGCTCTTAGTGTTACAGAGGGAGGTGTGGAATATTATGCAGAGTTAGTGAATGGGATAATATAGAGGGTCAAGAGATAATGTAAAGTTGTGGGAATACATTTCTAGGAAAGGAGGGGTGAGAGCACCCCGACAGCAGGTGGCTGGTGGGCATTTACTGAACCAGTTTAAAGCATTCGCCTCTGTTTGAAATTTTGTATTTTCCCTCATTTTCAGTTCTGGTGAAAATGGTCACATAGAGAATGTGAATTCCCCTAGCAGGAACCCATATCTGACAGGGGTTCTATCCCCACTCCACTCAAAACAACAAAAAAAGAGTTTTGCCTTAACATACACTGTAAGGTGGTCAGATTGCACCTTCACGTCTGACCACCTTCATAAGCCTATGGGTTCTCTAATGTTGGCAATAGAAAGTCATCATGACTGTGCAGAATTTGGATAGATTGTGTAAGGAGACCCTAAAGGTGCCCATACACCTTACGATTATCGGACGAAACTTTTCGTCCGATGATCGAATAGTCGTACGATTTTCGTACGGCAGCCCCATCCTGCCCCAATGATCGCAAGAATCATTTAGCCGTAATTAACCAAAAGCACCTGGACGAAATGCGGTAATTGATTTGTTGTATTTTCGTTAGCGCAAGCGCAGTGTACATCGTACGACTTTTGACGGACGGAAACGCCAGCAACCTTACGACAATCGTACGATCTAGCAACGTTTTCAAACATGCTTGACCGTCAAAAGTCGTACGATTGTACAGTATTGTCGGTCGGACACTGCAATGCACACATACGATTATCGGACGAAAAGTCGATCGCATACGATTATCGTCCGATAATCTTAAGGTGTATGGGCACCTTTAGACTACATTGTTTTCAGTCAATTTTGTTGATCTCATTTTGACCATGTGTGTCCAGCTTAAAGCTGGCCATACACTCTCATTTTGTTTAGCCTTCTGGCTGAATGAAAAAGATTCACAGCTTCCTTCATCCACACTAAGATAAGGGACAAACTGGAGGGACAAGACTGAGCGACAGTGCATTAACATACAATGTACTACCCAAGTCTTGATCTTCAACCCTTTATTAGGACAGCCAGTGTACACATCTACCTAAAAATTGCTAATGAGATCTGCCAGCACAGTAGAGACAATGGAAAATTGTATATTTACCTATCGGTAATTTTCCTTTCCTGACGCCAATACATGGCAGCATACAATAGGTATGGCTCCGCCCCCAGCCCATTGTATGCTTCCATGTATTAGCGTCAGGAAAGGATTATTATGACAAACATAATTGACTTAGCCCCTCCATAAACATTGTGTAGCCCCTACCACCTTACGTGGAATGACTACTAAAATCTAGGGTTGCCAGCACTGTAATCAGTCTAGCTGATTTGAAGTTAAATGTTATCTGGTTGATTCCAGGATTTCTGCTATTGATTGCACCTGCCTGAGTGGGGTGTGACCCTGCTACAAAGTGGGGCAGCCAACAGGGGAACATCAGGAGTGTCTATGCCTCACCAGCCAATCGCTAGGAGTCTGCATGTATTGTATTGCATGTATTGAAATTGAGTAAAAGGGACACCTTGAGGGGCTGGAGAAGTGTGCAGTGCATGTAGCACACCACCCACCAAATATATGTGTCAATAAAATGGGGGACTCGTCACAGTGTATTTTAGCATGAGATTTTAGCATGTATTTTGCTTTGTGGTAGACTAAATACCAAATGCACTCCGCCTGTGAGGAATCCATAGTAAAAGTGCACTTCGCTCATTCTGGTTACCAAATTGCTCTTGGAAAGGTACGGCACCCCCTGATTGTCCTGATCACCCTATTCTTAACTTTGCCATTTTGGATTATTTAATTTGGATTTGCATTAACTTTGGATTGTATAAATCCTTTAATTGAAAAAAGTTTTTGACAAGTCTTTCATTATAAAAAAAAAAATGAATCCACCGATATAATCCAGCCTTGTCCATGATGACGACGACTCGACAAAATGAAAAATAAAACAATGAAAAATAAATAGAAATAATACAATTTTTTTTTTAATGACGCCTGCCATTCCATCCGCTCTCAGCGAACTCCCGCTGCAGAATGTAATTTTGACAGATGCCGGCAACATATAAACAATTGGGCAGAGCTAGCGGTGACAGCTAGCTCCGCCCAACTGTTTACATTTGTACGGCACCTGACAGGTGAGCCATGATTGGGCAAAGTGAGCATGACTTTGCCCAATCATGGCTCTTAAGCTGGCCATACAACTTACAACCATCGCACGACTTTCGTTGTGCGATGGTTACATAGTGACATAGTATTTGAGGTTGAATAAAGACATAAGTCCATCAAGTCCAACCTATTGTGTGTGTGCATTTATGTTTGAGCAGGTGTGTGCGTGTGTGTGTAAAATGTCGTACGATCTGCCCAACTTGGACAGGCAGATCGTACATCGTAATTCCGATGATTCCAATGCTGAGCGGGCAGTGTGCGCTCGTACAATTTTCGGCAGGTTTTCAAGCGTGCTCGGAAGACTAATGTCGTGCAACCTTACAGTAGAAGCGGTCGCACGCTGCCCATACACCTGCCGATTATCGTACAATCGCGGGATCACCCACAATTATCGTACGATAATCGGCAGGTGTATGGGCACCTTTACAGAGTACTGTGCCCTGATTGGGCAAAGTCTTGCACCTGACCTGTGGTGCACAGTGCCTTGTGGGGCACTCGACGGGCGAACAGCCCGCCAAATGCACTGAGAGTTAATGTGTTCGCCGAACAAACGAACTGCCGATGTTCGAGCCGAACTCATGCTCGACTCGAACATCGAGGCCTTCCCTACTTCTCACCCTGTCGTGCTGGCCTTCCACTCAATTCTCTGCTTGTTTGTGCTCCAGGTTTGCCTTTTCTTTGGGGGAAATGGGTGTATGTTTTTTTAGGGTAGATTAGTTTATTTCATTTAGTGTCCTCTGTACATCGTGTATGTGATCTTTATTGTTTATTGCTGCTTTACAGTTTTTACTTAACTTTTTTTCTGTCTTTTTTACTTCTGTGGAACAAAAATGAAACGGTTTACCAGGTTATCAAGTTTTGCATCATGAACACTGGAGAAATGTGGGTATTGCTCATAGCAACCAATTAGATGTTGTCTCTTATTTGCTTATCTGAATTATGAAAGCTGACATTTAATTGGTTGCCTTAAACTCCATTTCATCTTCCCTCCATTTTTTTTTTTTAAAGGCTGAAGCTACTTTGTGACATTCCACCCTTTGCTGAATGTTAACCTCCTTCGTTACCAGAATAGTATCACAGGCTGTTGTACTCTAGTTCAGGCCGATTCGGAGCCACATTGTTAGAATACCTTTTCCTGAACAATCTTATCACTGTTTACAGCTCTCAGTTAGATTTCCATAAAAAAGATATCGCAGCCGTTGGCGCGCCGTCTGCATATCAGCGTGTATTTTTGTTGTGTGTATTGTTTATGAATGGCTGGGATTTGACATTACTGCTGTGCGTAATCTAGTATGACTTTATGGTTTGAGATAGCAAATCGCAGCTGTAAATGTTTCACTTTTTATAGTTACAGTCACAGCTTTTTGAAGCAGTTTATCATACATGGTGAATGTGCATCGTGAGGATAGTAGAAGTCAGGGGAGGGGTCGTCACTCCTGTTCATAACATATAAAGAAAGCTCTGGCATGCACAATATCACATAACATTCTAGAGGCTGGAGTCCAGCAAGTGTCATATGCACAGTGCAGCACAGAGCGCACAGCAGTGACTGGGCATCACTACAGGAAGTGACAACTGCTACTCTTTTCCTTTTTTTATATCAATCTTCACTGGAACAATTTAGGAAACTTTTGGACCTATGGCTGCAAATTGTATTTTGATCAGAGGAGGTAAAGTAGTGAACAATGACTCTTCGCAGATTGCTGATGTCTATATTGAAGATGGAATCATAAAAGACATTGGAAGTAACCTGCAGCTCAATCAGATTGTTGACTTGAAGGTGATCGATGCCACAGGAAAACTGGTCATCCCTGGAGGAATCGATACCCACACACACATGCAATTCCCATTCATGGGCACCTTTTCCGTGGATGATTTTTACATAGGTACCAAGGTAATGACTTTCTTCTAACATCTTGCTGGAAGGGCTGGTTTACCTTCCAGCAGGTAAAATAGATTCAACGTATATTTTCTTAGCATTTACTGAATTCATTTAATGCTTTTATGTTATATTTTTCATGACAATATTTTATATTGAAGTTTGCAGCCTCTAGAAGGCACACTTATCTGTATTATAGATCAGCGGTCTCCAACTTTTTGGGCCTCATGGACCTCTAAATTCATCATTTTAAATCCCGTGGACCACTAATATGAATTAAAAAAAAAGATAAATACTACGGACCATCGGTTTGCGATCGCTGTTATAGATGGTGCATTGAGGATCTTTGCAACTTGAGCATTGTCTGGAGAGTAGAGGATATCCTACTCAACCTCAGCACTCCAGCTGTTGTGCCTAGGGTTCACACCTTTTCTTTCAGCCAAACCCGAACACTCTAGTGACATGCAGAATTTTTTTGGGGAGAATGAATCGTGGCTTATTCATATATAAATATACAGTCAAGACTATTTTCAGTGGGGGGCCAGTAGCCCCTATCTTAATTTTGGTTGACCCTCTCTGCCTGACATCGTGTTGTGCAACTACAAGTCCTATGAAGCACTGCAAGACTCTGATAGCCACAGGCAGGACTCTCAGTGGCAGAGGTATGATTAGATTTGCGGTTTCTATGCTAGGTCTCCATGTAGTACTTTATGTTATAAAAAGCTCACATCAGTGCCCAAATAGTTATCAGACGTGGCTGGATTTATTACAATTACTTGTTTCTACATAAGATCAGTATATTTTATAGTGTTATCAAATTAAACATACCAGGCAAAGTACAGTGCATTTACCTGGAAGTCATCTTGGGTGATGAAGCATTCACATTTGTACTTGCATGCTATTTTATATTTTGTTTGTGGTATTATATTTGTGTTTTAAGTGCATGCTGGGCTTTCTAATAAGAAGCCTAGCACTATTCTTATGTTTCCTGGCAGACTGAGTTATGGCAATGCTGGCCAAACACTGTAGAATTTGTTCTAGTGTTTGGCCAGGTTGGTTTTTACAACAGTGGAGTACTCAATCTACTTTTGTTGCTGGAGCTGGGTCGAAAATTTTCAGCCCAACAGTGACTGCAACCAATCAGATATAGTCACTGTTCACTGTGGGCGCCGGCTGTCAGAATACGATAGACGCAGCAGCAGACACCTCCCGCCATGCTCTTTAGTGTTAGATTTATTTCATTCAGCCAACAAGCTGAATGAGAAAAGTGTATTAGTGTAGGGCCAGCTTAAGTTGTGCTGTCTGTGCTTTGTTGTCTTCTGCTGTGCTAGATCTGATCCGCTGACTTGCATTGAGAGAGGAGAAGTGAAGCACAATCATTGTGCAGCATTACCAAGGAGTAAAGCCTACAAATGAATAATGTTTAAATATGGCTAAACCCATGTACATCCATTTTTACACAATATATAAAATAAATAAATATATATCATCTGTAAAAGACCTATGATTTTCATTGGGTGAATATATAGTGCTTTTAAATGTATTTATTTGTTCAGGCTCAGTACATGAAAAATACTTTTATATTTTTTTATTTTTTATTGAGTAAATTTGAGGCATTATATATAGCTATTTTCTTGTTTTGCGCTTTCAGCCCTTTGTGTCTCTTACCTGAGATAACTAATCACTTATACAAAGGCAGCCACACTTGCAGTGCTGGACTTTCTTAATAGAAAGCCCAGTATGATTTTGAATTGATTTTTATGGATGAACCATATATTAAATGTTTATTTGAGGCAATATGCTATACATATTGTATATTTAAAAAAATCTATAATACATATGTTTTTTTAATGTATTGATAGCTGTATTATAGTGGTAGTTGTCACAATATCCGGAAATCCGTGCCGGATATTTGCTTTGCTCCCTGGTTCTGGGCTCTCAGCCTATGGTGTCTCTCAAGGCTGCAGCCAATCTGCTCTCCTCCTCCCCTATTTAGGACTTCCTCACTTGTTGCTCTTCGTGCGAGCAACAAGTCTTATGCCTTGTTCTGTACCCCTTGTGGCTCTAACTATCCCTGGGACCTTTTTCCCTGCGCTTGCTATTGGATCCTTGTGCCTTTGGCTTCCCTGTACCAGCTGGTATCCCTGTTTGGCGTTATCCCCTGCTTTGCTCCTTGAGCCCCTACTATAGTATTTCAGTGGTTACTTTTAAGGTCCTCACACACCTTGTGATAATCGTACGATAAATCGGGGGAAATCCCGCGATCGTACGATTATCGTAAGATGTGTGGAAGCCGTGCAACCTCTACTACTGTAAGGTCGCACGACTTTTAACTTACGAATATGTTCCAAAACCCGCCGAGCATCGTACGATGTTCGGCGGGTGTGTGGCATGTTCGTATGATAAAAGCCGGACGGGCCGGTGTGGGCAAGCGCACACTGTCCGTTCGGCATTGCGGTCATCGGAAGCCCGCCCCTCAGGGGGGCGCGGCTTGCGATCATCGCAAGTACGATCTGCCTGTCCAAGATAGGAAGATCGTATGTTTTTTTTAAGTACCTTACAACCATCGCAAGACAAAAGTCTTGCGATGGTTGTAAGGAGTGTGCGCAGCATTAGTATATTGCTGCAGACCTTAATTGCTTTCACCTGTGTGCTGTGAGTCTCTCTTACTGCCTTCATTGCCTCACTTCTTCTGTGTTTTCTCTCTCCAGCCTTTCTGTGTTTGCTTCCTCCTATTTACTTGCTTTCTTGTACTTTAATTCCGTCACTTACCTTCCAGTGTATCTTCCTATGCTTTGCTGTCACCCCTTTTATTTCTGTGCTCCTCTCTTACCTTGTGACTGTGTTGGATTCGCCCTTGTCTGCACACCCCCTGTGTGCATACATCCATTTGTGCTTCTTTATGTACTTTTCTCTCTGTTATCCTGCTTCTTTGTATGCATGTGCAATGCACATCTCCTGCTTACTTTTGTACGTTACACCTTCCTGCGCCTAGGTGTGCCTCTAAGCTAATTACCCTTCCCGAGTGTCCTTGTTTAGCTACCCTCTTCCGTATACTCTGCTGTGCGTTTTGCACCTTTTGCTTGTGACTTTCTCTTTCTCTAATTGTGTGCCACTTTGTGATGATTTATTTACTTTTTATTGCTTGTGTGTGTACTAAACATGAAGGTGGTGTAATGATGCAAAGTATATGAAGATAACAATACTGTCCATATAACTGATTTTCTGTACCTATGGTGCTTCCGTGTAATACAGTTTTACAGTGTGCAAAAATGTCTGTCCAGCTGAAAGCCCTATCACATGGCAGTAAGTCAATGAAGGGAAGAAAACTCAAGAAGCAGATCCAAAAATCAAATAGGTAGCATCCCTGCTGGGAACTGAACCCAGCTTTTCAGCATTATATAATCCCAGTTCTAACCACTTACTTCCCACATGTCCTTCTTCAGACTGACATCTAATACCAGTTCCCAATCCCAGTAATTTTCCATACAGAGAGAAGCAGACAATCGGTTAAATAAGGTCAGGGAAGGAGGATCAGAAATGTGAAGCTAATTTCACAATTCACATTCTCTTGCCAGTGCTGCATTAGCAGGCAAACCAAGAGGGCGCGGGGTCATTGGCCATCAGAACTTTATTCTGTAACAGGACTGTCTGTGGTATCTACCTGGGAATTCTTCTAAATCAATTATTTTGGGATAGTGGTCTCTTAAAACGAAAGGGATATCAATTATATCTTTAGCCCAAGAAGGTGGCAAGCCAAAAATCAGATTGCTAAGAGTGTCTGTGTGTCCTGTGCCTGCCAAGTCTTCTTTTACATGTTTGTAGAAGATGCTTTGTCATTATAAATCATGGTAGCTGCACTCATTCTAGCAAAGAGAAACATTTAGCATTTGGATCAGTTTTATGCCTTTTTAAAGCTCATTTTTAACACGAGTCCTCGACCTCCTCACTGCTGGCCCTGCGTTGTACATTATGATGTTGGACCAATGAGCGGCTTGAAGAGGAGCAGCTTTGTTGGACTAGTGGTACATCCCCGAAAAATTGGTGGGAAAAAGACTACAGGAGCCAGGAATAAAAGAAAATAAAAAAAAAGAAAAATTCATTTTAATGGCTGACTGGAGTTAAAGTGACATTAAACCCTTAGATTTTTTAACATAAACCAATACTGTAATGTGCGCCTTACTGTAATCCATGGTTGTTTCCCTTCTCTTTGCTCCTCTTCCTTTTAAATCCTCATGTCTTCTCATGCTTGGGGAGAACTTCCCTTTGCCGCTCAGGGCCTCTTCCTGTAGTGCTGGCTCAGGTTACAAACCTATACAAACCTATACACAGACACCATATATCCATTCCTGAGACAAGGCAGTCTGCTGCAAAACAGAAGTTCTGCCCAGCATGAGAACAGATACAGATTTAAAAGGAAGAGCAGCAAAGAGAAGGGAAACAACCATGGATTACAGTAAGGCACACATTACAGTATTGTTTTATGTTAAAAAAATCTGAGGGTTTAATGTCACTTTAAGCTTTAACATATTAACGTAGAAATAAACTACTACATTGAACAAATCAAGTGAAAAGTGTCACTTAGTGTTGAGCCTGGGCTTGGTGTGAACCCAGGTCACCTTAGTCCGCCCAAGCCCACTCAAAACTGTGACTGCTACCCCTCCTCCCCACCCAATGCCTTGCATTCCCCGCCCCACAGCTGCATGTCACAAAGGGGCGGAGGATGCCTTACCACAACTAGTGACACTGATATTGGGGGAAGAGGGGGAAGTGGCGGTAACAGTTTTGAGCATGCTTGAGCAAACTCAGAAGAACTGGGTTTGCACCAACCCCAAGCTCATCTCCAGTAACAAGGTGTTCACACTGAGGAAACTAACCCACCCATATAATCCTTACATCAATTTTTTCACTTATCTTGGTCTGTCTGCATTTGGAATTTCAGTCCACAAACTGCTTTTTTTTTATTTTCAAGAAGCAGTAGATGGAGACCTGACATCAAAGGCTCTCTATGTAAA